CTGTGGACCAAGTTGAAGAGGGATGGGAGACCTTAAAAATCTGAGAAAGAGGGGCTGGTGCTGTGGCTCACTTGGTTGGTCCTCCGCCTGCGGTGCTGGCATCCCACATGGGCACCGGGTTCTAGTCCCGGTTGCTCCTCTTCCAGTCCAGCTCTCTGCTGTGGCCCGGGAAGGCAGTGGAGGATGGCCCAAGTGCTTGGGCCCTGCACCCGCATGGGAGACCAGGAGGAAGTGCCTGGCTCCTGGCTTCGGATCAGTGCAGTGCACCGGCCATAGCAGCCATTTGGGGGGGGTGAACCAACGGATGGAAGACTTTTCTGTCTCTCTCACCGTCTATAAAGCTAACTGTCAAATAAATAAGTAATCTTTAAGAAAAAGCCTGAGAAGGAAAAGTGGGCCCAGCCTTGGGAAGTGGCCTCAGCTGCTGAGGTCCTTTCTCAAGGTGAGTGCAGGGACTGGGGCTGAGGCCTGGGGCCCACGTTCCAGAGTGGAGGGCAGATGTGGCGTGAGTGGGGACAGGCTAGGGGCGAGCATGTCAGGGTAGCAGGTTGATGCCTGTTGCGTTTGCTTTCCCAGGAGGCCACTGTCAAGTGGATGGAGTGACAAGACCCCTGTCTCCCTACCCCTGGGGTGGCTCAAACTCCTTGGAGGGAAGGGCTTGTAGTGGCTGTGTGTGGCCTCAGGGTGATGGGGGAAAACCCAAACACAGTTGAGTGTGGGATTTGCGAGTTGTCTGTGCATCCTAGAAACACACAGTACACCTGAGACTAAGTTTAGAACTGTGAACTTTAATTTAATCCCATCACATCCCTAAAATAAAGGCTTCTCATGCTCTGCCCTGTTTCTCTTTGTTACCCTTCCTGTGGCTGCAGACACATTGGGATTTGGGAACTGCGCCCAGGCCTCTTGTCCCCAGCTCCCCTTGACTTCCTGTTCCCAAACAGTGTGGCGGTGGCCTGGGCTTCTCTGCCCCTTGGTGTCCTTGGGGGACCCTTGGGCCCCTGGCTACCCTCCCAGCTGGTGAGTGCTCTGAAGGTCAGCTGTCCAGATGGGGACAAGGCCCCTGCAGCGCTAAGCTCGCCCATGCCCAGTAGCTAAGGCTGCTGGAGGTCCCTGGGAGCTCCCCCTAGTGTCAGCAGAAAAGCCTTTTGACGTCAGGCCGGCGTGCACTGGCGGCTGCCCCAGGCCCGTGCGAGCTTACGGTGAGCAGGGTGGTTGGCCCTCCCCAGGGCTGTCTTTATACCTGTTGACTTGTCGGGGGGTGCACTGAGGTGTCCTGTAAGGTACACAGCAGGGGTGGGTTCAGCCTGGTAGTTAGGATGACTGTATCCTGCACCAGAATACATGGTGTGATGACCGCCTCCAGTTCCTGCTTCTTGATAATGCAGACTTGTTGGGAGGCAGTGGTGATGTAATGGACGGCTCACGTAATGGATGCCTTCCACCCAGGTGGGAGACCAGGATTGCTTCCCTGGCTTTGGCCTGTCCCAGCTCTGGCCATTGTGGGCATTTGGGGTATGAACCAGTGAAAGGGAATTCCCTCTCTTTCAAACAAGTAATTTTTGAAAGTAAATAAAATGCACAGTCCTTGTCATGGGCCAGAGATTTGGCCACTCTAGCCCAGCCCAGTTGCACTGAGCCCAGATTTCTGGCCTCGGGCTGCGTGGGCCAGGATGAGCCACCTTTGCCTTCTGGCTGCCGGAGGCAGACTGCAGGCCTTCACAGACTCCTGAGTTACTTGCTCTTCTCTGCTGCTCAGGAGGGAGTAGTGACCCCGTAGCTGCGGCAGAAAGTCAGTTTTCCCTGTAAACAGATCTGGAGCAGGAGTGGAGTGCGTGCAGCTGTGGAACAGCACTGTTGAAACAGGCGCGTGTTCACTGCACTCCTCTCCCGGGCAGGAGCTTTTGACACTTGGGTTTGTTTTTTTCTTTTTCCTTTTTAAAGTGATTTCTAAATCTAGAAGAGTGTAATAAGCATGGACCAGAACCTGAGAATACTTCTCTGAGCCAAACTGAATTTATATAATCTATTTAGCCAATCTCTTGAATGTTGCCTGTATGCCGAGTGTTTAGAGCAGAGTGGGACACACAGAAATTCAGTGCAGATTCAGAGTGAATCTGAAAGTGCTTCTAAGTATATTTTGTTACGAGCACATGACTATTCTGATGTTTATAAAAGCCGCAGAACTAAGCCCTGAGAAGATACAGAGCATTGGAGATAGCGTTTGAGAACAAAGCTTGACACCAGATCCCTTTCTGCAAATGGGAGAAGCATGGAGGAGCCCGGCTCTCACAGAGAGGTCTGTTCCTGACATCTCACCCACTCGCCTGCGGAGTGGCCACATCCACTTCTTCTTAGGTTTTGTAATACTTGGCTCACGATGAAGTGACTTTCTCAGGGTTCGTTTATATCACTGGGATGTGGGGAATATCACTCATGTTCTCTGCAGGATTGCTTTTCTGGCTAATCCTTTAACCCCGTCTCGCCTGGCGTGGAGTCATTGTAGGCACTACCTGCTGGTGTGCGTGGCTGGCGTGGGATGAGGGCACTTGGCAGTTGTGTGCATTCTCAAGTTGCGTTTCTACTTGCAGCTCTGATCAGAGGCTCGTGGTCCCCTCGTCGAGGTCTCAGCTCGCTTTCTCCGTGTCTGTGCTGGACCTCGACCTCAAGCCCTATGAGAGCATTCCTCACCAGTACAAACTGGACGGCAAGATAGTCAGCTTCTACTCAAAGACTGTGCATGCCAAAGACGACACGGTGATGTCGACGCGGTTCAAGGAGAGCGAGGACTGCACGCTGGTTCTCCACAAGGTCTAACTCCTTCCCTGGCGTGTCTCTGAAACTTGAACACAGACTGTGAAGGTTGAATGCTAGAGCTGTTTTCTGTTGCGTTGGGTGACTTTGGTTGTGAATCTTTTTGCATTTAACCCCCGCTCAGGTGGGTTGCCTCTGGGAGGTGTAGAATGGAAGAGCACTAGGAACATCTGACAGGACTAGGAATGTAGGACGTGAGCGCTGTGTCCCAGGAAGCTGCTGCTCATGGTCTTAAAATGGAAGTGTCCGTTACGCCCTGGGAAGACGTTCTGGGTGGTTCTTTCTTCCACCTGGGGGCTCACGTCTAATTCTCTGATGCAGAAAGCCTTATCCTAAGACCCAAGGTTTGGATCTCCTACCACCAGACTCCTAACTTAGAAAACTTGAATTGTCACGAGCATCCTACCGTTTGGACTTTAAGGAAACATGGATACTACTGGAACGTCCCTCTCTGAGTCCTTGGTCACTTTCTCAATGCAAGCCACACGTGGGCACAGTGCAGGGCGTGCCCGGGGGTGGTGTGAGCCGCCTAGACTCGGGTCCCTGTGGAGGTGCCGACGCCCGTGGCTCCGTGGCAGGTCGGCAAGGAGCAGAGACTCAGGTCAGGATGGACACCACTCCGCGTGAGCACTGTTTTTCCTTCACGGTTCTCTTTCGGGGGAGGCAGGCTTGCTTTCCCACCTGAAGTTGCTGCTGTAGAGGTGGGGGCAGAGCTGTCACTTGCCGAGCTGCTGGGGCAGGAGTGCCCGACTCTGGTGTGCTGGGGTCAAGGAATGGGGTTCCCCTTCTCCCACCTCACACCCTCTCCTGGGTTTGCCTTGAGCTATGCCGGGTGTGTGGGCCCATGGCCTTGTCCCCATCAGGCTGCCGAGGGCCCCACTTCCAGAAGGGAAGTGATGTGTGGCTGGTGCCGAGAGGGTTCTCGGGGCGGGGCGGGGGGTCGCTGAGTGTGCCCGGCTGCTATGAAACCGTAGGGAATCCTGGCTTCAGTTTTTTATTCTATGGTAGCTTGTACAGACCGATTATTTATATCATCATTTTGAGGGACAAATGAAGGCTTATTGTAACATAATATTAGCAAAACCATGGAATTGTATGAAAATACTACATGAGAAATAAGGAAAATATTTTGATGATTGTAAATTTTTGTGGGAAGTTTGTGATAACTTGAGAATTACACTTGTTTGAATCAAGCCAACTCTTCTAGAATTTATTGTCCAGTTCTGCCGTAATGTTTACTTCTAATTTTGGTCTGCACTTGGAGATGCAAAAAGATTATTTATGCATTAAGACACTTTTACTGTTTTCTTCTGATTTCAAGTGGCGGCATCTCCTGTGTGCCGGCCTCGGGTCACGTACGCAGGGAAGGAGAAGGCTGTTACTGCTCACCTGGGGCTGCGACAGCCTGGGTTTGTGTGCGCACACGAGCGAGCAGCCCTGTGCTGGGGGTGGCCTGGGGGTGGCCTGGGCTGCAGCTTGCTGCCTCGCAAGGGGCCCCGCCCTGGCTGAACACACGAAGCTTCCTGGAGAGGGAGAAGTAGATGTGGCTCCCTGACATTGGGGGCTCAGCTCCCCAGCTGCCACCGATCCTAACAGCATTACAGTGGGTGGCCGAGGGCTTCCTCTTGTGCTGATGAGACATTCAGACATTGTGGTGGGTCCCCCCCCCCCCACCCCGTAACCAAGGCCCATATTGAGAGGAACCATGTAGCCAGCACTGTTTTAAAGCTAAAGCCCCCCCCCCACCACGTCCCCTTTTTTTTTTGGTGGAAGACCAAGGGGAGGGATTAGCTGAGGAATGCTGTCCCTTGCACCAGGACCCACGCAGAGGCTGGGTGTGGCTCCCGGGGCTACAGAGAAATGTTTCAGAAATGAGGTTCCATCTGCAGCTGCTGGCAGAGCCCTAGGTGGCGGAGCGAGGGGGCAGCCGCTTCTCCGCGGCAGATGTGTGAGGCCCCCCCCGCCCCCAATCCAAGGATGGACAGCTGCTTTTGCCATATTTTCCTAAAACATTTTACTGTATATACCATTTCTGGCCTTTTGTACTTAACATAGCTGCATTTACTTTTCATGTCATGAAAGTTTACATAATGTGCCATTAGTGCATAGACAGCATTTTCTAAGGGTGTGGTTTCTAAGTGGAAAATAGCAAGTGTTTATGCTCAAGTGCGGCACCAGGTCCCTACCGGGTCGCCGTCAGGAGTTAGTGGTTCTCTGCGCGGAGCAGTCTGATCAGGCTTTCCAGAGCAGCTTCTATGCCCAGCACCCTGAGCAGCGACCTGAAGCTGAGGGGCGCCGTCTCTACGACTCTGCTTTTGTCCAGCTTAAGGGCTGTAAAGAAAACATAAACTGGGTGAGAACTGTCAAGGCGCAGCCGCGCCAAGTCCTCCCCTCCTCCCGACTGGCCTCGCGGAGTGGGGAGTGCTGGACACTGATGGGGGGTGATCCTCTTACTTTTTATCGATACAGAATTTTTAAAGAAACTGATGTACGAAGTACAGTAATGAGACTTCTGATTCTTTCCACGTAAAAGCACGTGAAACAGGCATGCGGCTTTCTCGGGTCTCAGAGAATCGCCCAGAACTGCACGCAGAGTTCCTACCTCTCTGTGGGACTTGGGTGAGAAGATCCAGCTTGGGTGAGACTTTTCCTTCTTCATCTATTTGAATCCTCCACACAATTACTAACTCAAACCTGAAAAAGAGGCACGGACATGTCACTGAGTTTTTGACGTCTATTAACAGATGGCCCCTCAGCAGCTGGCTTCCGCCTGTCCTCAGAGGAAGACAGGGCGTGGTGAGACCCACTGCAGGTGGGAGCAAGGCCACGCTGAGATACGCCTACAAGGAGGGGCCCAAGGGAAAGGCAGGGCTTACCAGGGCTGTGGAACTTCCGGCCCTTGGGCCGAATGAGGCCAGCAAAGTCATTTGGTGTGGCCCTGCCAAGGCAACCACAGGCCATACTTGAAATTCAGTAAATCTGTAGCAGGCTAGTATTTTTCCCCCCAATAACAATTTGAAAGTCACAGTTACAGAGAGAGAGGGAGGGAGGGAGGAATATCCTTCCTCTGCTGGTTCCTTCCCCAGATGGTCACAGTGGCCAGGGCGGGGCCAGGCTGAAGGCAGGAGCCTCGTCTGAGTCTCCTACGAGGGTGGCAGGGGTGCACACACTTGGGCCACCTTCTGCTGCTTTTCCCAGGCCATTAGCAGGGAGCTGGATTGGAAGTGGAGCAGCCGGGACACAGTCCAGTGCTTATATGGGATGCTGGCATTGTAGACAGCAGCTTTAACTGCTATGCCATGATGCTGGCCCCAATAGGCTAAATTTTTAATTTTGTATGACCCGTGAATGATGTTATAAATACACAGATGGCCCTTGGCAGAAAAAAGGGTCCCTACCTTTAAAGACCACTGGGAGCTTTTGAATAATCTGGCATCAACAAAAACCTGAACAGAAACCCCCCGTGGCCCAGGACTTTCATTTCTAGGAAGCTTATGAACAGAGTGCCAGGAGAAATGAAGAGGAATGAGGAACCCAAATTCAGAGACGTTATGGGTGTTCATCACTGGAGGAGAGTGAAGTGAATGACACTGCACTTGACAAAGGCTGCAGGCCAGCATACCACGGTAAGGTTGAATACAGACGTGTCCAGGCATTCACCTGAAGTCACCAAGCACACACAGGTGGACGTGCAACATGTCACAGAAGGGAATAAAATGAAGGCCTGGGACACAGAACCGTGGCTCGGGCAGCACAGAGGCCAGGATGGGAAGCGGCGCTGTGGGAGCCATGGACCTGACTCCCCTCTCCTCCTACAGCTCAGCTCTCTGGAGCTCGCCCCTCCTCCCCACTTCTTCCCTTCCACACACACCTCCACGTTATCCTGGCTTCCCTTCACTGGCCCCTCAGGACCCCACAGAACGTCACCCCCATGCCCAGCCGCACCCCGCACTGGCACACACGTGTGACGGCGCGGACTCCTCAGCTGGGTAGTTGACGTTTCTGTGGTGTGGAACCCTGTCTAACGGGGACACGGGGTCGGGGGCCTGGGCACTCACCCTGGCCGGCTGGCACTGCAGATGCTCATGCAGCGGGAGCAGGCGCCCTCTGGGAGCTGCACGGTGTCTGGGTACTTCTCCTGTGTGGGAGAGGAAATGGTTAAGGTCAGACGTGGTGGGGAGGGGGCAAGAGACTGATGCGGGGCAGCTGTTCCAGGGGACTGCTGAAAATTGGAGGAGAACCCCTGTAAGGCCTCTCCTCCGTTCCCGTCAGTCTCTTCCATGCACTGTTTGCTGGTGGTCCTCACTGGCTAATGTGGTGTTGTGTACCACCCATTCTAGGACTTCCTTTTTTTTTTTTTTAAGATTGATTGATTGATTTGAAATGCAGAGGTAGAGACAGACAGATCTTCCATCTGCTGGTTTACTCCCCAGATGGCCTCAATGGCTGCAGCTGGCCCAATCTGAAGCCAGGAGTTTCTCTCGGGTCTCCCATGAGGGTACAGGAGCCCAAGCAGTTGGGCCATCTCCCACTGCTTTCCCAGGCTCATTAGTGGCAGTAGATGAACCAGTGCCGCTATGGGATACCAGCACTGCAGACGGCAGCTTAACCCCATATGCCACAGCGCCAGCCCCCATTCTAGGTCTTTCTGCTACCATAAGGCCTCCAGGCTCCCGGGACTGCTACGTCCTCCAAAACTAATGTCTGCAGTGACCATACAACTTTGTTCCAATTTTACCAGTGTTTCCCCTGTCCTATCTGGATGGGACTCCTCAGCCTGTCTCCCAGGACCCCACACTGATGTCTGCTGTGCTCCTTGCTGTGAGTGACTTTATCAGAGAGCTTTAGCATCTGACCATGAAAAGCCCAGATGGTATCCTGCCCAAGCACCTAGCCTGTGCCACACCAGTGCGAAGAAAAATACTGGAAGAGCCAGCTTCACAGTGATACGTGCACCACGTTATACTGTAAAGTGTCCTCGGACCGGGAGACAAAGTGGAACTTCGCTGATTTCTAGTCCTGCACCTTCAGGTAGCGTTGGCTCCCCGACGTGGTAGGACAGTTGTGGATGTGCATGGCCCCTTCACAATGTGTGCAGTGGAAACCTGGGCCCGATGCTCCAGTCAGATGCAAGCCCTGCCATGACCCTGGGGGCACAGCAAGGTGCAGCTGCACCCCATGCCAGTTGCAGCCCTTGAGTAAGGGGCAGGGTTTGGAACCTGGGGCAGAGCCTTGAGTCTGCAAGCCCTAACTGGATTGAACCAGCTTAGCTGCACCAAGTGAGGTTGTGTGGGGACAAGGACGTGTCACAGCTTTCAGAGGAACCAGCCCCATCAGTGCGGGACGCCAGGGCTGCCAGCACCCCACGCGAGGATGCCAAGAGGGTGAGCACAGCCAGACACCACGTGCAGGGGGCCTGGTGTAAGCTTACAGAATCACTGATTCCAACCCAACGGTTTTTATGAGAAAATGTATACCTAAGTGACTGAGTGGAAAGTGCGGGTTGACTGCTAAACCCCAGGCTCTTCTAAATTAATAACAACTGCAGGAGGAAAGCAGCGAGCTTGTGGACGTGGCAGTGCGGCCTCCAGGCTGTGCTTGGCCCCAGTGTGTGGGACCCGGCTGGGGCTGCTCGGCTTGGGCCGACTCCAGCGTGGGCCCAAGGCTCGGCCCCCAAGCACAGGGAGCAGGTCTCCCGTCCCCAGGCCCCTCCTCGTGACAAGAGGAGGGTAGAAATTAGAGGCTTTCACCAAAAATTACACTCCTTTGTAGCTTTTAAAATAAAGACTGAAGTAGAAACGCGGACATTGGGAAGCTGCCAGGCAGTTGGGCCTGTGTTTGTGGAGAACTTTTTTAGGGTTTGTGTGAAAAGTTTCTTTATGTAAATTAGTAATGCTGCTCCATTCACTCACCGGGAACCTCAGCTATTCTGAGTGCCGTGGGGCAGAGCCGGGTTCGCACTGATACGTGCACCACGTTGCACTGTAAAGTGTCCTTGGACAGGGAGATAAGTGGCACTTCGCCGATCTCTAGTCCTGCACCTTTAGGTAGGGACCCAAGGCTGAGGGACAGCCCAAGTGTGGTGCTGATCTCTGGACTCACTGACGGAGGCCCCAGGGCCTGGCCCCGAGGAGGCTCCCGCGCCCTCACTGTCCTTCCTCAGTCTGTGGTTGTGGCAATGATGCAGGTGGGCTTGGGGCACCTGGCATCAGGTCAGCACATCCTAAAAGTGACATAAAATGCCACACATTACTGTATCTGACACTGACAGAAGATGACCACGTCTTCAAGAAAGAGCTAAGGTGGACACACTGCTAATGCAGAGAAACATGTAATGTATTTTAGAATACTTTCCATAAAAACATTGACATTAAAAAGGGTTAATGGAAAAATTAATAAACCTAATCTGGGAAGCAGTTTAGATAACGTCACATTTTGGTACCAGTACAACAAATGCCCAGAGAAGTCAGGCACCTGGCTGGACTCTGGTGGGCCAGTCTTGGACCTGGGGCTCGTAGTGCTCCTGGGTGAGTGAGGCTGCCACCAGCACTCGGAAAGCGGACGCTAAGTTTCCGCTTCCGCTGGTGTTGCCAGGAAGGCTGCCAGGCCTCCTGGTGCGCACTGTCCAGTGGGCAGGCCCTGGGGCTTCCCCTCCAGCGCCCCGGCCGGCCGGCACAGGAAGGCTGCTCCCTGAGGAATGCCTGGCCGAGCGCTGGCGGGCGTGCCTGCGTGTTTACGCAGCTGCTTGCCATATGCGTTCGAGGACCCTCGGGGTGGTGTGCGTGGCTGCAGGAATGCTGGCAATTCGATGCTCAGCCCCACCTGCATCCCCGACACTGCGGTGCGGGGTGCAAGCCTGCAGGGGACTGCACTTGTGGGAGCCTTGCAGACACCAGCCCTGTGTCGGTATCCGTCAGAGGAGGAACGACCCCAGCACCCCTCCACTCACCCTGAGTCCCTCCCCGGGTGTCTACGCGTTAGTTAATTCATCTTGCTTTCAGCATTTTACGCGTTAGTTAATTCATCTTGCTTTCAGCATTTTCCCAAAGTCTGGCTGATTCAAACACTTTAAAAACTGAGGTTAAGTCATGCAACAAAATCACTCCTTTGAAGTCTGTAACTGAGTGGGTGAACTCACACCGCGGGGCAGCCACCACTGCTTTCTAACTCCAGAACATATGCATCGCCCTGTAAAGAGACCCTGAACCCTTTAGCTGCTGCCCCCAATCCCCTCCACCATAAGCCACCACGAATCTGTCTCCCTAGATCGCCCTAGTCTAGACATTGCATACACAGTCACAGAATGTGTGACTGGCTTCTTTCACTTAGCGTGTTTCCAAGGCTCATCCCTATTGTAGCATGGATCAGTCCTTTGTTCCTTTATATTGCCAGGTAACATCGCACCGTATGGGTGGAGACTGAAATATGTACCCCGCGTTTTGTTTTTCAGTTCATGAACTAATGGACACTTCACTGGGAATGAGGCCAGGAACATTTGTGCGCAAGTCTTTGTGTGTTACATGTGTTTTCACTTTCTCTTGAAATATACCTAGGAGTGGAACGGCCAACTCAAATTACAGACTCTGACCTTCGGGAATGGACACGCTTTCCCCCACAGTGGCTGCGCTGTTTTCATAGTCCCGTCAGCAGCACAGGGCAGTTCCAGCGCTCCACATCCTCACCAACAGTTACTACCCTTCTCCTCTTTTAAAAAATTATTGCCATCCTTGGGGCCAGTGCTATGGCGCAGTAGGCTAATCCTCTGCCTGCGGCGCCAGCATCCCATATGGGCGCCGGTTCTGGTCCTGGTTGCTCCTCTTCCCATCTAGCTCTCTGCTATGGCTTGGGGTGGCAGTGGAGGATGGCCCAAGGCCTTGGGCCCCTGCACCCGTGTGGGAGACCCAGGGGAAGCTCCTGGCTTCAGATCGGCGCAGCTCTGGTCATTGTAGCCATCTGGGGAGTGAACCAGAGGACGGAAGACATCTCTCTCTGTCTTCCCCCTCTCACTGTCTGAAACTCTACCTCTCAAAAAATTATTGCCATCCTCATGGGTATCTATCATGGGTAGTATCTCACTCTGGGATTTCCCGTTTCATTTTTAAAGACTGATTTATTTGAAAGCAGAGTGACAGGGATTCTCCATCTGCTGGACTGCTCCCCAAATACATGCAACAGTGAGGGCTGGATCAGGCTGAAGCCAGGGTTCTGGAACTCTTTAAGTGGGCCTCCAGTGTGGCCAGGAAGGACCCAAAGTCCCTGTTTTTTATTTTTAATCTGAGTCCTCATTTGCTGCCTTCCAGGTACATTAGCCAGAAGCTGTTTTTGAGAGCTAGCCTGGTTCAGAGACAGGAAGGTGCGGGAGGGCCCTGCCGGGTAAAGGAAACCTGACTGGCAAGACGCGCCCCAGACAGCTCAGGACGCGGCACTGGCTTAGCTGACGATCTGTATGTGGAGAGTGAACCTCATTGCCTGCCTCAAGCCATACCTAAGGATTTCCTCAAATGTCTCAGATATAAATGAAAGAGCTAAAACCATCAAACCTCTGAAAGAAGGCATAGGGAGAACTCTGCAAAACGAGTCAACCAAAGATTTCTCAGATAAAAAAAAGCCTTGACCACAGAGAAAGATAAATTGGCTAACTGATACATTGACTTCATCAAAATTTGACACTACTGCTCCTAAAAGCCAGTATATATAGAGAGAAATTTCAAGGCCAGCATTAGAGTGAACACACTGGTGAAAACCTGTATCGGGAACACGTAAATGACACGTACAGGTCAGTAATAAGGTGACTCAATTTAAAATAACAGGCGCAGGCTTTAACGCCGCTCAGTATTGGAGTCGGCCCTGTGGGGGTCCTGGTTGTCTGCGGGGATGCCTGCCTGACACTGATGCATCGAGAAATGGAGGTGAGGATGTGGGGTCAAAGGCACACGCGTTCCTAAAGCACCCTTGCTGGGAGACGCTGGGGTACACACGCACGGTCCGAGCAAGAGGAGAAACTGCTGCTTCTACCCAGTGTGGGGAGGAGAGGTCCAAGGCCAGGTGGGGCTGAAGGGGAATGGAATAGGGGTTGGCAGCAAGCTGAGGGCACCGGCTGGGGTCTGACAGACACAGCAGCCCAGGCTGGGAGGCAGG